TTTTTTTGCACCCTCAGATTCCAGATTTTCAAATATTTTCAAAAATCTCAGTTTCAAAAAATTTACCCTTATGACTGGTTTTGTGGTCCAGGGTCACATATATAAAACCATAATATATTAACAGAAACCGGGAGTGTCAATGTAGCTTAATGAATTAACCACAATTCATTTTGAAATTCCAGACGTTAAACAGAGGAATAATAAAAACAATATTTATTATTTTAGCATATTGAGATTGTTTAATTATATCAAAATAATAATAATTATATTAATTAATTAAATGAAAGAATTTGAAGTCATCCTGCAGCCCTCTTGGAAGTTCCCTAGTGGGCCCTGCCGCCTGGTTAAGTACCGCTGCTTTAAATCTTTATTGGTGTAGGTGAGCATCTTATTCTGTCTTTAGAAACCTAATGTGACAGTTAAGCCACAAAGCGTCTTGCATCTTAGGTGCATTGCATTCTAGGTGTGGCCTGCTTGTCACTTCTTGTATGATACAACTGACTACCAGACAAAAAATCTCTCTTAAATCAGTATTGCATCAGGCTAAAGAGTAAGGTTGAGGTCAATATATGCAGTATAACCATACTTACTGTTAGTAGCTCCATCCACTATGAAACTGCAGACCACTCCTTCTGTTTGTCTGCCCAATGTGAACCCATTCCCTCTCAAAACAATGTCAAAGGACTCTGTGGTATGTAAACCAGATGAGGACATAATGAGAAGCACTCCTGGGCATTCACCCAAATCAAAGACCATGTACACGCACGCACAAACACACACACACACACAAAGGCAATTTCATCCACCCTGACAGTTGTAAAAGCACTCAAAATGCTTACGGTTCACACAGACGCTGGACGGCTCCACTGTTAGGATCTCTGTGCATGATTGCTTGAGGATCTGCATGATAAAAATGTATTCAAATTAGTACTTATCACTGCTGAATCACTGTATCAGCTATCACAGTGTCTGGGTGTTTAGCATTCACGCCGGGGATGTTTGCTATGCCAAATCAAGCTCAATGAGACGAGCATCACATACTGTAGTGCGGTGTGGGATAGACCCGTGTCAGTCGTTATGGGGAAATTATGCAGTGCCATTTTTCCTCTTCAGCTCTATTAGAGACCGCAGGCTGACATTATCATATAAACAGGCCTGTGAGAGGCCACCATCGCTTCTACCATCATCCACATAAATCAACAGAGGACAAACTATGCAAATCTCTGTACACAACGGGCAAAAAGACAACATTAACAGAAAGATATGGTCCTCCAAATCGCCTGCAGTGGAGATGAGGCTTCAGACTGAAGTGGAGGACACGTATAAAACAGGCTGATTGAATATGACACCTGATAAACTCTGCTATCATTAAAGGGGAGAAGGAACACGGAATGAACGTCAGAGCTGAAAGATACTCAGGATGGTCTTTATGACTCTTTAATGAGTTATGAGATGGAACGATACAAGGGAGGTTCATCGCAAGACATTTCGATTTCTTTTCTTTGACGTATCTATACACACACAGGAATAGACTTTAAGCATTAGAGCATCCATCTATCTATAATTATTACACAGATCTCTAGAATACTTGATTCTGGTTGGTTAATCATGACATTCTTGCAGTGCAACAAATTCTCAAATTGCAAGAGCCACAAATTCTCAGTTGAATTGAGATCATGGATTTGACCTTTTTAAGCTTTTTTTCCCCCTTGCTTTGTGTTTGGATCACCATCCTGCTGAAAGAGTTTTCACTCAGTTTTCAGCTTCAGTCAGATTTAAATAATATTTCTTGTATGTATATGAGGTGTCAGCGTTGTGAGAATTAGCACTACAAATACTGCTTTCAAATTTGGCTGAAAATGTTCTTAACTTCATTTGACCACAAAATCTTTCACAACTAGGTCAATATTATGTTTTTACTCAGAAACTCGTGTTTACACTTGGATCTTTTTGACCATTTAAGCAATATCCATTCCCTCCAGTCAGGTCCAGTACACATGTTTTGTGGAGTTATATACATTACGGTTTAAAAGTTTGGCGTCGGTAAGATTTAAAAAATATATATTTTTGAAGTCTCTTGTGCTCACCAAGGCTGCATTTATTTGATCAAAAATACACTAAAAACACTAATATTGTGCAATATTATTACAATTTAAAATAATTTTTATTTCTATTTTAAAATGTATTTTATTTATAAATGTAATTTTATGTAATTTAATTTATATGTAATAATTTAATAAATAGAATATTAAAAAACAGCAATTATTAGCATATATTTATCTTTTGATTATTTGATTATATAATCTATTTTTGATTATTTTCAGGTTCCAATTCAATGCATCCTTGTTGAATATAAGTATTAATTTCTTAATTTCTACAAAAAAATAATAATAATCTTACAGACCCCAAACATTTGACGGTACATACAGTATGCACCAGTCAACCATATAATTGCAAATATTTTAATGAAGCCACAAAAATAAAAATAAAAAACCTTCTCTGCAATAAATCAAAACATTCTTGGAATATTAAAATAGGCCTGGTTAAATCTGTTCTTTAGGCTTTTGCTTTTTGCAAAATCTCTGTTAAGTCTCCTTTAGGCCCGGACTGCAAAGCTGCACAGATGATCTCAAATCCTGGAAATCTGAGCAGAGAGCAACATGAGGCCAACTAGCCCAACCTCCAAGATTACTAATCACCGGAGAATGCCTGTGTTTTGCTGGGCCTGAAACTCCATTTGGCCAAACAAGCTTACTCAGTAACAAGATGATTGGTCTTTTTTTCATATCTCTTTTCTGGACAAAACAATAAATTACAAGGAGGTCCTGTCTTTTGTCTCGCATGACTAAACCTGAAAAATATCCCAGAAACTGATTCCTGTGGTCACAAAACAACACACCCATGTACAAAAACACTGACCTCAGCTGTTGATGGTTTACTGATGGCAGAAGATGTTCAGTCTTCATACCATGTTTACAATGTTAAACTGCATCTTCGGTAAATGTAATGCACATAAAGGGGCAAACATGCACGGAACAATTGCTGAGGAACATTTCAAAGCATCATGAAGCAAATGGAAAGCATCACAAATGTAAAAAAAAAAAAGAAGATAATTGCAAAAATACATCCATTTTCAAAGAACACAAGAAATATTCCCAAAAATGGGCTGTATACTCATAGTATAGTTCAGTTGAGGTGATGTGATGTGCTTGTTGTCGATTCTCTCAGCATTTCTCCCTTGAGTAAGCCATTTAACCCCTTTTTGCTCCAGGGGGCTGTTCACATAAGAAGTCTACTGTAAGTCACTTTGAAGAAATTGTCAGCTAAATGACTACCTAACAGTTCAATGGATCTGTCTTAGTTGACTAGAACCTCTATCACACCTTTTGGGATGGGTGCCCCTGGCATGGAGAACTTACCGAGTTCACAATGCCTTTGAGAGCTTGAAAGCCTCCTTTGACTGGGAACACTTGCTCCCTGGTATCAGCCACATCGGCAAGCTGTTGGCAGGCAAATAGAGATATAATAATAACAGGGCTGATAGCCAAGCAAAAAAAAAAAAAGTGCTGGCATTTCCTCTCCTTTAACTCAGTTTACAGAAACAGAAAGAGAGCAGCAGCCCTGTAATTACAGGCAACTCTGCAAAACCCCTGCACTTGGGGAAGCTTTAGAGAGCTTTTTAAGTGTTAATCGCACGTTTTAAAGGGGTCATATGATGCTGCTAAAAAGAACATTATTTTGTGTATTTGGTGTAATGAAATGTGTTTATGCGGTTTAAAGTTAAAAAAACACATTATTTTCCACATACTGTACATTATTGTTTCTCCTCTATGCCCCGCCTTCTGAAACGCGTCGATTTTTACAAAGCTCATCGGTCTGAAAAAGCGAGGTGTGTTGTGTTTGGCCGAATACCTCAAGCGTGAGACAGAAATGTTACGCCCCTCACATACTGTTGATGCCGACAACATTAACAGAAAGATATGGTCCTCCAAATCGCCTGCAGTGGAGATGAGGCTTCAGACTGAAGTGGAGGACACGTATAAAACAGGCTGATTGAATATGACACCTGATAAACTCTGCTATCATTAAAGGGGAGAAGGAACACGGAATGAACGTCAGAGCTGAAAGATACTCAGGATGGTCTTTATGACTCTTTAATGAGTTATGAGATGGAACGATACAAGGGAGGTTCATCGCAAGACATTTCGATTTCTTTTCTTTGACGTATCTATACACACACAGGAATAGACTTTAAGCATTAGAGCATCCATCTATCTATAATTATTACACAGATCTCTAGAATACTTGATTCTGGTTGGTTAATCATGACATTCTTGCAGTGCAACAAATTCTCAAATTGCAAGAGCCACAAATTCTCAGTTGAATTGAGATCATGGATTTGACCTTTTTAAGCTTTTTTTCCCCCTTGCTTTGTGTTTGGATCACCATCCTGCTGAAAGAGTTTTCACTCAGTTTTCAGCTTCAGTCAGATTTAAATAATATTTCTTGTATGTATATGAGGTGTCAGCGTTGTGAGAATTAGCACTACAAATACTGCTTTCAAATTTGGCTGAAAATGTTCTTAACTTCATTTGACCACAAAATCTTTCACAACTAGGTCAATATTATGTTTTTACTCAGAAACTCGTGTTTACACTTGGATCTTTTTGACCATTTAAGCAATATCCATTCCCTCCAGTCAGGTCCAGTACACATGTTTTGTGGAGTTATATACATTACGGTTTAAAAGTTTGGCGTCGGTAAGATTTAAAAAATATATATTTTTGAAGTCTCTTGTGCTCACCAAGGCTGCATTTATTTGATCAAAAATACACTAAAAACACTAATATTGTGCAATATTATTACAATTTAAAATAATTTTTATTTCTATTTTAAAATGTATTTTATTTATAAATGTAATTTTATGTAATTTAATTTATATGTAATAATTTAATAAATAGAATATTAAAAAACAGCAATTATTAGCATATATTTATCTTTTGATTATTTGATTATATAATCTATTTTTGATTATTTTCAGGTTCCAATTCAATGCATCCTTGTTGAATATAAGTATTAATTTCTTAATTTCTACAAAAAAATAATAATAATCTTACAGACCCCAAACATTTGACGGTACATACAGTATGCACCAGTCAACCATATAATTGCAAATATTTTAATGAAGCCACAAAAATAAAAATAAAAAACCTTCTCTGCAATAAATCAAAACATTCTTGGAATATTAAAATAGGCCTGGTTAAATCTGTTCTTTAGGCTTTTGCTTTTTGCAAAATCTCTGTTAAGTCTCCTTTAGGCCCGGACTGCAAAGCTGCACAGATGATCTCAAATCCTGGAAATCTGAGCAGAGAGCAACATGAGGCCAACTAGCCCAACCTCCAAGATTACTAATCACCGGAGAATGCCTGTGTTTTGCTGGGCCTGAAACTCCATTTGGCCAAACAAGCTTACTTAGTAACAACATGATGGGTCTTTTTTTCATATCTCTTTTGTGCACAAAACAATAAATTACAAGGAGGTCCTGTCTTTTGTCTCGCATGACTAAACCTGAAAAATATCCCAGAAACTGATTCCTGTGGTCACAAAACAACACACCCATGTACAAAAACACTGACCTCAGCTGTTGATGGTTTACTGATGGCAGAAGATGTTCAGTCTTCATACCATGTTTACAATGTTAAACTGCATCTTCGGTAAATGTAATGCACATAAAGGGGCAAACATGCACGGAACAATTGCTGAGGAACATTTCAAAGCATCATGAAGCAAATGGAAAGCATCACAAATGTAAAAAAAAAAAAGAAGATAATTGCAAAAATACATCCATTTTCAAAGAACACAAGAAATATTCCCAAAAATGGGCTGTATACTCATAGTATAGTTCAGTTGAGGTGATGTGATGTGCTTGTTGTCGATTCTCTCAGCATTTCTCCCTTGAGTAAGCCATTTAACCCCTTTTTGCTCCAGGGGGCTGTTCACATAAGAAGTCTACTGTAAGTCACTTTGAAGAAATTGTCAGCTAAATGACTACCTAACAGTTCAATGGATCTGTCTTAGTTGACTAGAACCTCTATCACACCTTTTGGGATGGGTGCCCCTGGCATGGAGAACTTACCGAGTTCACAATGCCTTTGAGAGCTTGAAAGCCTCCTTTGACTGGGAACACTTGCTCCCTGGTATCAGCCACATCGGCAAGCTGTTGGCAGGCAAATAGAGATATAATAATAACAGGGCTGATAGCCAAGCAAAAAAAAAAAAAGTGCTGGCATTTCCTCTCCTTTAACTCAGTTTACAGAAACAGAAAGAGAGCAGCAGCCCTGTAATTACAGGCAACTCTGCAAAACCCCTGCACTTGGGGAAGCTTTAGAGAGCTTTTTAAGTGTTAATCGCACGTTTTAAGTGTAGTTTTCACACTATTTTAAAATCTGTCAGTATTACCTGTTCTTCATCAAAGTCCTTTACGCCGACACAGTACACACGAGCCCCAAACGTCCTTGCTTCATCAGCCTATATACACAACAAACAGTCATAACAATGCAATTGTTCGTTGCCATGAATTAAGAAAAATATGTATGATGTTAGATACCAGCTCACCTCATCCTTAGTGAGTTTATGGATATATGGTTCAAGCTTTCCATCAGTCAAAGCCACAATGATACTAGAGGACTTTTTGAGCTGTTCTTTCATTTGTGCAGTTGCCTGGAAAGAGGAAGGGAGTGATAGTTGTGCGAGTAGAAACATATCTATTTTCTCAAAAATTGCAGGGATGAATAAAAATGTATATATAAAAATATGTGACCCTGGACCACAAAACCAGTCATAAGGGTCAGGAACATGGTTCTTTACTTAATGTCCTAATGATTTTTGACATAAAAGAAAAATCGATAATTTTGACCCATACAATGTTTTTTTGGCTATTGCTAAAAATATACCCCAGCGACTTAAGACTGGTTTTGTGGTCCAGACCAGGGTCACATATTTCAATTATCTATCATTGTATCAAAGACACTGAACTCATCTTGAGGCCAGATTCAGGACACTGAATGTGGTGTGTTTATTTAGAAAGATGTAATTACACCTTATCTTGGTCATGAGGGGAACCAGAAAGTTTACCCTGTTACCTTATTTTGTTTATTTCAGTACAAGAATAAATTCAAGGAAATACAGTCAGTCAAGTATATTTACACTCCCGTGTCTGCACATTAGATTTTTTTTAATGAATTAATTTCTTAAAACACACACAAATTCCATTCCACGGTTTATCATAAAAAGCACACCATTTACCTGTTTAATTCCTTCATGCATGTAGGTTTCTCCTGCTGGTTTGACAGCATTTAAATACTTCAGACCTTCATTTATTTTTGCCCTGATAATGAAAAGCAAGGAATATTCTAATCAGTGTACACTGAAGAAATATTCTACTAAATGTCATGCTCACAATAAGATGTAATGGTAATTTTAGAGTCATGTAAAACCATCAACACATGAAGGAAACCTTTACACCATAAATATTTACTCCTCTTTAATGTACTGTACAACACAAACACATGGTGTATTACTAGTTTTCATACACTAGGGACTGCAAACACTTCATGCAAGCCTGATTCCGTACCTGTCTCCAGTGAGCTTTAACACAATCTCTGCTTTCGATGAAAACACTATGAAGGACACGCGCATATTTGGACTGGAATAAAAAAATGAGAAAAATGGAAAAACATTGTAAATGCATGACAAATGGAAAATCAAGTACAGCTGCAAATTCTAGTTGGACACATCTCTTTTTTAACCACAGCAGAAAGCTCATCAGAAGAGACTTGATTTTATAGCTAAAAACAAGCATTGCTGCAAATGATACAGAGAAATCCTTTGATGTAGAAAGTCTGGCTGTCCTCATGTTCTTTTCGCAACCATCAGAGTTGGTTTAGGAGTAAGAAAGCCAATGTGACCAGCTAATAAAAGCTTGTGACTGGGGAAAAAACAAGGAACCAAGGAAGTGATTAATTGATATGCAGACAGGAAACAGGTTGTCATGTGTGATTCATGCAGACATTTTGTTGGTGATTATATTTATACCTGTCACTTCCTATATTTATTCCTCTTACCATCCGCAATAAGAGTAGGGCAAACAAGCAGCCACAAAAATTTCTGCAAAGCAGTGATGCAATACAGATGTGTATTTGGACCTATGTCAAGTTCAAAAAGTAGAACAATGACATTAATACTGGTATGTTTCATTGTTCAAGATATAGTGTTATTTTACTATTATTTATTTAAAATTATAGTATTTATTACCATTATTAATAGGCATTTATTTTTATATTTGTCAGTTTTCATTTAAACTTCAGTTTAAAAGTTTTAGTAATTTTAGTATTTCTTTATTTATTTTTTAGCTTCAATGTATTTTTATTTCAGTTTTAGCTTTAGTAATTTTAGCACTTCACCATATATATTTTATTTCAGTTAGTTGCCCTGGCAACAATTATAATAATAGTTAAAGTTTTTAACTAATATTTATTTTATTTTCAATTTTATTCCAATTAACTGAAACATTTGTTAATAGTTTTAGTTAACTATAACAACACTAATGCGATCATGCAACCTGCTGGTTTACAAAACCGGGGATTTTATGTCCTAACGATATTGGAACAGCATTCTTTTCTCAGAAAGAACTGACACATAATCTGACAACAAATATATAGCTGATTATGACAAGTACATTTCAATGAAGCAGTTGGTCTTTTTCACAACCTTCTGTCAGGAAAGCTGATACAGCATAGGAACATGTTGGGTTCCTCTACACATTTGAAGTCAGGTCTCAGGACTGAGCATAAGGAGAGGTGCTGCTTTTTCTCACTCAGAATGACATCCAATCCACAACCATCCCCCACATGAGATACTCAGTGAGAATATCCAAATGTATCCAAGCAGCCAAA